GCTCTGCAAGAGTGGGCAGTGGAAGGGAAGAGAAGGATAGAATTGAACCTTCAGCTCTCTGTCTGTGTTGGGTGAGAGGAAACAACAAATCCCAATACTCCAAAGAGAAAGTAACTCAATGGGTGACACCTTCTTCAGATCCCCGACCTGGAAATACCACATACATAAGAATATACACCACGGAGTAATCTCATTCCCAAATATTTACTGAATAGTTGCAACCACAAGAACATTAACTAATATTCTTACTGCCTCAATCAGATTATTTCTGCAGGCTTCTTTAATTCTGAAAAAATAAGGAATTCCTCCATTAGCCTGCACAACCTAAAATTTGTGGAGAGTTGGAAAATACAGACTACTTGCTGGACTGCAGCTTTTCATTTATGGATAAGCCAATAAATTTATTTTGGTGATAAATATAAATTATTCCAAGCTACGCCCAACATCCTAATCAAACGGTCTACGTGGAATAACATCTTTGGTTTTTCCCCTGCATACTGGTATCTTTGAGGACGCTCCTGTATTCAGTTCTAGGCTGTCCCTGTCCTCTCTGCACTGTTTGTCTCCAAATATTTTTAACTATACATTATCACTGTTTTCACTGTGTGCTGCCAATACTGTTCTCTTAATTGCCAGGCATGCCATTGCAAAGGACTTACTAATAGTATTCTGTTACATGTATCTGCATAATGTGGTTTAATCGGCTTTTCATGGCTGTTAGTTGATTCTGACATAATTACGTGGTTACAGTTTTCCTTTCATTTATCAGTCCCATTATTACTATTCCACTTTATCCCTTCCATTAAAAGTAAAGATAAAACAGTGTCCTCACAGCACACCAGAAACTGCCAGGACGGCATCTGCGTGAGCAGCTCTCCTCGGAGCAGGAGTGCTTGCAGCATCTCCTCTCCCTGCCTGAGAATTAAAGTAGTGCCCTTCTGCCTAAGTGCTTTCTCACGTGCAGAGATAGGGAGGGAGCCTGGGGCACTAATGGGTTTTTTTAAACGCAATTTTTACAGATCGCCACCCAGCCTGACTGTAAGACACAGCATTATCCACACCGTAGCGCCAGCCTCTCCCCACGACCAGCCCGTTTTGCACAGGCACTTGACCCCGTGGTGGGAGCGGGCGTCTGCGGGGCTGTGCCCTGGCAGGGGCCCTGCCACTCGCCCACTCGGGGCGGTTACACTCCTGTCGTTCACAGGCAGGAACGAAGCCATTTCGGGAGGTATGTTTACAGCTCAGTAATGAACCCTGCTTTCCCATGGCGTTGCGTCTTGCAGCTGGCTTCTCTGGAGGCAAGCACTGATCAAAGCTTTTCCTGCTTCTGAAGCCGTGATAAGAGCTCTCCCCCACACGGATTCCCTGGTACATGACACAGACCGGGCTTCTCCTTTCCCTATCTGGGAAAACGCAGTTATCCTCTTTACCCAGCTGCCTCTTTTCATTAAGCTTTTATGAACTTAACGTTCAAATTTGCCTGAACCTGGAAAGTAGATTCAACGTTAGTGGAAGAGGGCAGACAGCAACTCCGATGCTTATTGTGCAGACCTCATTTCCTTAGGAAACCAGGTTAGATGTCAGCCTGTCGCTTCCTGACCATCTTGGTTTACATATGACACATCACCTTGATACGAAAACAATACAAACAGTGCACACGTGTATGCAATAAAACCCCAGCTGTCTCCTTTCTTGTAGAAAAAATACTGTTTCAGAAGCGTCTTTCACACTGAGCCTATTTTTACTCCCATACGCTGAGGTGAGGAGAGACTGGTTTTTTTCCAATTAATCACAAAACCTATCATCCTGGAGGCATCACAGAGAGTGGGCAGCAAGGATGTGCTAGTGACAGATTTAGTATGAAGTTGTATGTCATCTAGATAAGGGAAGAAGATTTTCTCTTCAGTCTGAAAGCTACTGTTATTACAGACTTTTTTTTTTAATAGTCTCAGAGGAGAAGCAGGAAAAAAACATTTATAGTGAAAGAATCAAAATGTGAGTGTTGCTCCCTGATTTGCAGTGACTGAAATCTGCAGCTAAGCATCATCTGAGGTGTCTGTTAAGGTAAAACCCTTCAGGGCAAGAGCTCTTAAGGCAAAGGAAGGATTTCTTCATCCTGAATTTTAAAAGCAACTCACACAGTAATGAAAACATCACTGAAAAATTAAAACTAAGAGGACCTCAAGAAATCAAGACCTTAATAAAATTAAGGGAGATAAATCTGAAGTGAAAATAGGGAGTCACAAATTTGATTGCCTTAAAATGGAACTGAAATATTTGGATGTTAAAGTCACGCATTTGCTTGTGAGTGACATTTTCAGAGCACGCAGTGGGGGCTGGGGACAGGAATGGTTTTCTGGATAGGGAATTTTTTTTCCCTCTCACGAGCGCGTTTCTTTCCCCTCTTTGTTAAGAACCACCATGAGTGCTCTTCTCAAAGAATGAAAACCGTAGGAGCTGGTTTTCCTTGTTCCCCATGCCATTTTCTTTTGTGCAGAGCAGCTATTAAAGGATACCAAATCACTGGTCTTTCTTACCAGTAAATGCTTTCATAGAATCATAGAATAGTTTTGGTTGGAAAAGACCTTTAAGATCATCAAGTCCAGCCATTAACCTAGCACTGCCGAGTCCAACCACTAAACCATGTCCCTAAGCACCACACCTACACGTCTTTAAATACCTCCAGGGATGGCGACACTCCACCAGTTCCCAGGGCAGCCTGTTCCACTGATGGATGACTCTTCTGGTAAAGAATTTTTTCCTAATATCCAATGTAAATCTCCCCTGGCACAACTTGAGGCCATTTCCTGTCATCCCACCGCATGTTACTTGGGAGAAGAGACCAACATCCACCTGGCTACAACCTCCTTTCAGGTAGTTGTAGAGAGCAGTAAGGTCTCTCAGGCTCCTGTTTTCCAGGCTAAACAACCCCAGTTCCCTCAGCTGCTCCTCTTAAGACTTGTGGTCTGACCCTTCACCAGCTTTGTTGCTTCTTAAAGCACCAGAGAAGTGAATGGCTAAACAAGACTCAAGAAATGGGGCTTACACCCAATGTACAATGATGCTTCAACTACAGAAATCAGCTGAGCTGCAAAAAGTAACAAATTCAGCCTGGTTCAAAAAATACTGTTTTTTTTAATGACGAGAGGAGGAATTCCTTACTAGACTGAACAAAGAGCAGGATGTCACAAACAGGAATTTCTGCTTATTCTTTTCCCTTGTATATTTGTAGGCATCATATACGAAATTAAAAAAAAAAGAAAAAAGAAAAGAACCTAAACAATACAGGTGCACCCATAACACTGTAAGCTTCGTAAACTGAGAAACAGTGTTAGCAAGACTTTTCAAATCCATTTGGATCAAGGGTTAGACAGGGTGTATGATGTGTCCTTATCCTGCACTGTGCAGACTAGACAGTGCTTTTTATATTTACCTTGAGCTGCACTGTAAGAGACAAC